ATTAATTATTAAAATATAATATTGTCTGCACACAGCACCCAGAATCCTTGCAAGTAGAATGGGATTCACTCCTTCCCAGTTCTTTTATCTTTCATCTAGTAGTGCACAGTACCTGCTTACTATGGTGTAAGGGAATGAAGGGTAGGATACATAGGGTTTCAAATATTTTTCTTAACTGGTAAGTGGCTGGAATAGGGCTGTTTTGAATTCAAAAGGCCAATTAGGGCTGAAGCTGGGACAGGAACGTCCTGGCGGGCAGATGCGCACTCACACCGCCGGCTCATCGCAGGGTTTATCTGACCCCGCACTGCTGCGCTTCCTTGTGGCTGGGCATACCCCTACCTCACGAGTAACAGCAGCTCATTTAGCCTGCAGAACTGCCCTACAGGTCTACACTCTTAACATTTTACAGTGAGGAATAATTGCAGACAGACCAGACAACCTGCTAGCCGGCCAGGCTTTGGGGAGACCGCCTGGGAGCCACGTTCCGGGGCTGTGGTTCCCACCATGCCCGTTTTCTAAGGCCTGTGTCATGCACATGGTACTCACAAAGTTGCCGATTTCAGCTGAGCATTGTGGCCGTACTTCTTCCCTCCCCGTGGCTGTGGCAGGAGACCCCACTCCCGGGTCTGGCCCCGTGAGCCCCTCAGCTCAGTGCAGGCCTGTGGCAGGAGACCCCACTCCCGGGTCTGGCCCCGTGAGCCCCTCAGCTCAGTGCAGGCCTGGACACATTTCCAGGTGAGCCCAGTGTGCAACAGGGCACCCCGCGCTCCACGTGTCAGCTAAGGGCTGCCGGGGGACCGATCAGAAAGTGGATGGCTGCAAGGAGCAGCGTATGGTGACGTTCTGCTTGGACTTAGAAAACTCAACAGGGAGAAACACCTAGGGAGTTTATTCTGCAATGTGCTACTCACAAAATAAACAGTGTTCAATGGTGCTGGGGCCTGGCCACGTGGCACGGCCCCTCCCTTGACCCTTCCAAGTCTGGCTGTGACTCACTAGGTTGACTTTATAAGCGTGGGACCCTTCCTGATACTTACATTAAAGTAGAGTGGGCAAGATACAGGCTGGGAGTTAAATTCACCTAGCTGACTACTGTGTGGGTCTTAAGCTAAGAATCCTAATTAAATGAAATGCTATTTTCCCACCTTAAAAAAAAAATTGTTTTTCTCTCATGAAGTAGGTGTATGTTTTGAAGACTGTATATATAGGGTTTATTAACATTTTCCATGCTATTAGTAAGATTGTGGGAATGACTTTGTTATGTGAGTACCAACATGACAACTACGATTTTGTCTCTTGTCCTACCAAACCTAAAATTGGGCCAGGAAGATGAGTCAGTAGAATAAAACGCTTCCCTGGTGAGCGGAAAGGCCTGAGTTCAATCCCTGATTTTTCCAAAAAAAAAAAAAAAAAACCAACCTAAAATCTATTGCGTACTTCATAGAAAATGCTCACGAGTTCTGCTCGCTCTGAGCAAGCGCTTGCCTTCATGAGCCAGGGCTCACCTGGGCCGGGGGCTGTGGTGCCCGTTTGTGCTGAAGATGCAATTTTTAAAATTTCTAGATGAAATTCATACACATGACCTAGAAAAATTCAAGGAAGAATTTGAAAGGAAAAGAATTCTCGTATGTTCCGTTGCTGCGGATGCTCCAGACTAGAACTCCAGGCCATGAGGGGTCCAGGCCCTCGCGTGACTGACGCCTTCACTGGCTCAGCCACCTGATGTCCTCCACAAGTTGTGGGATCAGCTCAGAGGCACTGAGGCCTTTGCCCGAGTCCCACAGCTGTTACACAGCGGTTGGTTCCAAAGCCCACGCTAGACTAACCAGACTGATGGAAAATATGTCAGGCCTGAGATATGCCTTTCAGGTACTAGTAATCTAGGAGGAAGGAAAAAGGCCTCTGTCTGCATCATTAGCGGAAGTACCTGTTAGACCATGGTGACTTAAAGGAACAGCAGTGACAGAACTGAGCCTAATGCCATCACTTGGGAGGGTCCCCAGTCCTCCCAGCAGCCAGGAGGCGTCCTGTGCTGCTGCACGGGTGCCAGCGCCCCACCATGTCGGGACCAAGCCAGGGAAGGCTGTGCCTCTGTTCCCCTCACCCAGCCCTACTAGGAATGGAGCTGTGGGCCGGAGCGGCCGGCACCTGTGAGGGTGTCTGCCCACCTGGATCCCAGGGCCACCCAAGGCTCCCAGAGCACTCCATTCACTCTTCTGTGTCCCTGCAGATGTTATGTTGGCTGTTACCTTCCCCTCGGCTTCCATTTCTGTAGCAGCCCTCACTACATGGTCTTTGGAATATCTTCCGCTAGGAGCTGGGCTTCTAGCTACCCGAGTGGCAAGGCTCCTGGATGGGACTCTATGTGAAGAAATGGGGCATGGCTCCTAAGGCCCCTGAGCTGGGGTGGCCTCCGCCCTTCCACATGGAGGCGTCCTGCAATCCATGGCCCCATGCTGCACAGTGTGCAGCCCGTGCTCCCTGGCCCTCAGGGCTGTTTCTCCTCCACACCATGACAGCCAGAACCTCCTCTGAGCCCTGGGGTGGCCAGCGGGGAGTGGACACCAATCTCCAGGTTCCCCCTGCACCCTGTACTCCCCTGACCTGGTGCCACAGGGACAGCTGGTAATGAAGATAGCCTTGTAGGGTGGCCCTGTGGCTTCCTGAGACCGCACACAGCTTACAGACCAACACCCTAACCCCAGATGAGCCTCTAGGGGCAACTTCAGGTTTTTGGATTGTTCCGTTTAGGGTACTTGGTCATAAGCAGGTGGAGGAGTGGTGGAGTGATGCCGCAGGGGAGACGGAAGTGGCAGCTTTGGAGCTGGCCGTGCCAGACTGTACACAGGCTAACACTTGGGGCTTTACGGTGGCTGTCCACACAGCTGAGATGGCCCAGCGGCAACGAGCAAAGGCCCAAGTGTTCCTTCTCCTGGCCAACCCCGGCCCAGCTAGGTGTCCTTGCAGAGGTTTGCATCACCTCACTGCTGATAACCAGGTTTAAGGTAGAGCCCGCGCCTGCTGAGGGAGGAAGGCAGTCCTGCTGCCTCCGGCCTCACTGGCCTGTAGAAGCTGTCTCGCCTGTGTGGTCTGATCACAGCACCCCATGATTTGAAGACTTTTGCATTTGTTACTTAATACTTAATTTCTCCTTCAGAAAACATGAATCCGAAGCGTCTGTAAGAACCAGCTCTGGGTGTCGAGCCTAATGAATTATGCTGTTACCCCTGCTGGCTCGTGACCGTGGCTCCGTTAGGGAACCGTGTGCCTTGACTTCCATATCTGTCAGTTGGAGCGTGGAAGGCGCACGCTTCGTAGACAGAGAGATGGGAGAGCGCGGTGGTGCAGAAATGAAAAGCTGAGCCCTACACCTCAGGCTTTTGTGTTCCGGCTCTGTGTACTGGGATCTTAACAGGACCAGCTGTGTGGGGTTAAGTGTCAGTAAGTTACAATTCTGAAGCTCTTCCAGGAGTTAGTGCTGTTTAGATGCTGACAGCATCTGCCTAGAACAGTGCCTGGGACACAGGAAAGCCCAGGGCTTGCCTTGGCGGCACATGGACTGAAACAGTGCGGCCCACGTATGAGTTTATTCAACTGTGGTCTTCCAAAAGGAGATTACAGTTTTATCCATTCTGACATAGTTTATCCCCCATTACTAAGACCCCTGGAGTCGGGGGGATTGGTCCAAGTGCCAGCCGTTGTTGATGGGAGTGAGGAGAAAGAAGAAGGTGATTCAGGCTTGGAAAGGACATTGCCTTAGGCACAGGTGTGAGCCCTGCTGGTCCGGTGAAAGCCACTAGGAGGAGCCCCGAGCAGGCCATCAGCTGGGCTCCTCGTGTGTTAGTGCGCCTTGGACAAGGGTAAAAGGAGAGACCAGATTTAAAGCTAGGGCTGCTTCTCTGATGGTGAAGGAAGTGGCCGACTGCCGCAACTCCTGGGGGGCATACCCTAACCTTCGCGGATGCTGTTCCTGGGGGCCTCAGGACCTTGGCACTTGCTGTTCCCACTGCCTAGTGATCTCCTTTACCTCTCTGCTATTCTCGCTTAATTTTGTCTCGTTAACTTCAGCTTCTTGAGTCAGAACTCTGCCATTTCTAGCAGCAAGACGCTGGTGTCACGGCCTGCTGCCTCAGTACCTAGCATCTTACCCAGCTGGGCTTTCTTTCCTCTGCCGGTCATTGTGAATTCTGGCTGTTGGGGCTCAACTTAACTGTCATTCTTCCATTAAAGCAGAGATCTGCATTCTGGTTAAAAAAGATAAAGAGAGGCCCGTTTCTGGGGCATTTTAATATTCATTTATTGAGATACAGAGGGCAGAACACAGGGCCTCTTGCATGCTGAGCAAATGTTACACTGCTGAGCTACATCCCCAGACCTCTGTACATTTTATTTGGAGACAAAGTCTTGCCAAGTTGCCCAGTATGGGCTTGAACTTGCACACTTCCTGCCTCCTCAGTCTCCCATAGTATTGGGATTACAGGTACAGGCACCAGGCCTGGCCTCGGTGGTCACGGGTAGGTTCTGGTTGGGTCTCACGTGGCTCTGATAGGCCTTGGGTGCAGTCACCACACAGCCTAGCCCGCTTGGGCACTGCGTGCTACCCTTGGCTTCTGCTTTTGTTCTCATAACGATTGTCTTACTGTGACCCATGGTTTGTTCTGCTGCTTGTCCACTGTTAGAGGCGCATTCTGCAATGAAACACGGGGCAGGGCGGGTTTAATCAGCACACACCAGTGTCTTCTCTGCAGAGATGACACCCTACCGGGGTGTTTTGTTGATTTTTCTGGGGCTGTGGGACTGTCATGTTGCTGCCCCTTGTTCAGCACAAAACCTGTTCCTTAAGAAGTGTTGTGCTGTGCTGCTGTCCCTGGGCACACCCCGAGAAGCGCGGCCTGGTTCCTGGTTTCTGCCAGCACCACACAGGCTGGTGATGTGGCACCCTCAAGCGTCTGATGGTGTAACTGAAAGTGTGCTCCTTTCATCCCCTCTCCCCACAGAGAAGGAGACCTTCTTGGACCCTTTCATCCTCCAGGACCTCCTGCCTGCATCCCTGGGCAGCTACTACCGGTACACAGGTTCTCTGACCACCCCTCCGTGCAGTGAGATCGTGGAGTGGATCGTCTTCCGGAAGCCCGTGCCCATCTCCTACCACCAGGTAGGCCGCTGCGCCCCCAGGCCCGCGGTGCTTCCCTTCTGCGGGTTTTATATTGGCTTGACCGTAGCCGTGCCAGATGACACCAGCGAGGCTTTCACTTCGCTTTTTAATTCTGTGATCTTCATTGATTCTTCGTTGTTCTCATCAAATATGTTGAGTGCAAAACTAGTGAAATGTGTGCTGTGGATTCTAAGCTACATATTAAGTAGCAGAGGGGAATTTCACACGTGAAGCGAGGCATCGTGTAGACTCTGTCTTGGAGAGGAAACAGGTGCCACATGCGCTATGTTCTGCCAGAGACGGGCTGTGCTCTGAACGCATCAGCCTGTGTGCGCCCCACGAGCTGCAGGCTTCTGAGGTCAGAACCTTTCATACCCCGTTTCATAGAGAGATGGAAGACCATGAAAAGTAAGTGATTTTCCCAAGATCTCATGGCTGGTATCCAAGTTATGGTATCTAATTGAAAAATTTTTTAAAATTCTCAGATCACTAAGCCTGTCACAGTTCAGAAAAAGAGAGGTTTGCAAACAGAAGGAAATGAAGTAAAACATATCACTGATTGAGCTTTTTCTGAATAAGCACACTTCACTAAACACTTTACCTCTGTCAGCCTAAAACAGCTGAGAGGCCTTTACGGTGGCTTGGCCTGCACTGGACAATTCCATACAAGGAACATGCCCTGGGATCCATGGCTAACGAGAGACAGACAGACAGACAGACAGAGATAGAGACAGAGACAGAGAAAGAACATTAGTTTTCAAAAAGTCAGCATGCACTGGGATCCATAAGAAAGGGAGCGTGAGCCACTAATCAGGACTGGCCACAAAAAAAGGTTCTTAGCAAGACCATTCTCGGAAATGACCCCTTGCCAGCTTCCCATAGCTTCACAACCAAGGAGGGCAGTGGGGCAGGGAGGGAGGGAAGGAGGAGAGGGAGGGAGGAGAGGGAAAGGACGAGAGGGAGGGAGGAAGCTGTGGCGTTAGCTGATGGGGCCAGGGATGTAACTAAGGACAACGACAGCAGGCTTTTGAGCCCAGCCGACATGGAATTTTGCCAAGATCCTCCCAACCAGGATAGAGGGGACAGAATAGGCAGGGGGAACGGGTGGTTGTCCAGTCAGGTTCTTTCTTTATGGGAGAAACTGCCCTAGAGCAGCTCATGTAGAAGAGTATTGTGAACAACTAGCAGTAACAGCCTCTGAGCGGAAGCCGGCCAGAGCTGTCCTGAGCAGGGCTGGAACTAGAAAGTGCAACATGCGGTTTTGTCTTCATCCTGGGGCACCCATGTCATCTCTAAATCTTGGCCTTCCTGACAGCTCTGGGACCGGTCAGTTCTGAACTTTTGTGCAGTTCTGGACCTGTTTCCTCCTGGCTTGTGTTCTGCTGGTCCCATGGCCCCTGGAGCCCGTTGATCTTGGTGCCTGGCCAGGGGCAGGCTGTGAGGTCAGGGCTTTAAGAAGAGAGTTCTGAGTAGACAGTGGCCACCTACCTCGCCAGCCAGCTGGGAGCTGTGGCCTGTCTTTGGCTAAGTCAGCAAGGTTCTGGAGAGCGTCCGCGCAGCCAGGGTCCACTCCCTGGGGTAATGGAGCTGCAGGGGAAGGGATGGCACATTGCCCTCCTGGCAGAGTGAACCAGCTTGGGCCAAGCCGGATGGATTTGTGCGGCCTCACTACTGTTGGCAGGCATTCTGGAATATGCCCTTTTAATTTCACTCTGACCAAAAAGAGGAAGGACTAGCAATTTGGTTGCTGAACAGGATCTGCCAACCATAAGCAGATAATGAACTAAGAAGGAAGTTTTCTTACTAATAGGGAAGCCAAGATTATTTTATTAAAGATAAAGTTACAGTTGAAATACTTCTTTCTCAAGGTTGAGGGAAGAGCTTTAGGAGGGACCCAGTTTGTCATTTAAATAAGTGCTTTTTGTCTTCAGGGAGTTATATGTTTGCGATAATGTATGAAATAGAGGTTTGGGCATCTGCATAGCATTTCAGGTACAGGAAGAGGTGGGGGCGTCTGGGAACTTACTAGGGGCAGGCAGGGAGCACCGGTGCACCCTGTGTGACACTGTGCGGGATACTGTGTCCGAGCGGAAGGCGCAGCGTGGGGCTCGGATGTCCGCTCACATGCTTGTCACTCAGCAGCCCTGGAAAGTGTTTGGTTCCTGTGTCCCATCTACTCAGGGACCGGGGAAGGATCAGTGGCCTTCCCATGCATGACCTTTCTGTGGTGCACTTCAGGGAAGTTGAGGGAATAAATTCATCGCATGTGCCGTTCAATTTCTTTACAACCAACCGTCTTTGACTAATGTTTGCTTTTATCCATGGCTGCTCTGTAGTTCCCTGTCCCTCTCCCCCGGGGGAAAAGAGCTCTCACTCAAGTGGCAGATGGGACCCTTGCTGCCGAGCCCATGGAGGTCACAGCTGTGTCAGCCCTTAATAAAGAAAGCCCCAGGCATCCACACACGAGCACTGCAGCCCTTCCCACCCGCGCCCTGCCAGCACTTTCTTTCTGAAAGTTAGTACAGAATGTTCATTTCAAAAAGGCGAACAGCCAGTTTGAAAAAGCCGAGTAATTAGGAATTCCATCTCAGCTTCCGTCTGAAAGAAAGCACTCCAAGCCTTGCACTCTTCTCATTTTCAAAAGCCTCTGCTCTTCTCCTGGCGCTGGTCCATGTGGGTGACTGTAAGCAGCGTCCTCGCGGGACACAGGGCTTGCCACAGGCTGCAGAGGCCGGATTTGTCTCCTCCCAGAGGACCCAGAGGACCGAGGGGTGCTCCTGACCTCTCGGACCACAAGGGGGTTTGTTTCGTTCAGCTCTGGGTTTCTCAGATGGCTTCCCCGGCCCTTGGCCCCTACCCAGGGCACCTTTGCCAGCACTGGTGCCTCCTGTAGGTTACAGTAGATCGCCTGTTATTCTCTCCAGCATGAGTTTCGTTGAAGTGCTTCCTGGGGGTGCTATTAAAAAGGCAGGAAATAAGCCAGGCATGATAGGGCATGTCTTCAATCGCAGCACTCTGGGAGGCTAAGGCAGGAAGATGGCAAGTTCAAGCCCACCTTGAGCAGTTTTGCAACAGAGAGAGACCTTGTCTCAAAATAAAAATACAGGAAAAAAATAAATCAGGATGCGTCTACTTTGTTATCCTTCTTTTTTTTTTTTTGAGGGCAGGTGGTTGAACAAAGGCGTCTGCACAGTCCTCTTTCCGTAACGACTGGAGCATCTTTGGCATCAAGCCCATGTGCTGAGGAAGCGAGCTTCCTGGGTTCCACTGTTGGCTCTATGTTTTGGCCAAATTCTAAACTACTTTGCTACTTAGTGCCTCAGTTATTCCATCTGTAAAGTGGTCAGAGTAGAGGCATCCTAGAGCTTAAATGAAGGGGTGTCCCTGAAATGCCTAGACCTGCGCCTACCACCAGAAGAAGTGCTAGGAAGATTAATTAGGTGGTGTGTTGTTGCTGTTATTCAGTGCCTGCCAGTCCTGTAAGGCAGTGCTGTCCACTGGAAATAAAATGACCGACAAACATCATTTTATATTTTTTACTCTTCACATGAAAAAAACCTTAAAGTGCTACAAGTGAAATTAATTTTAATGAGGCAGCTCGTATATCCGACACATTATCATTTCCATGGAGGCTGCCACATTTGCAGTGTGACAGTCACTGGGGGCGGGGGCTGCTGGCTCCCATCGTGAGGTGCGGCTCACCACTGTGCCCCTGATGGGGAGCACGTCTACCAGACTTTGTATCCAGCCTGGTAGGGTGTGCCGGGCATGTGAGAATGGCAGTTTCTAAGTGGTGACCTGACGCCGCCGCCCTCAGCTCCAGAGAGCTCGCTGTCCCTGTTGACTGGGGTGCAGTGCCTTTCTGTTTGCTGCAGAAGACCTCATGCAGCACCACCCTGGGCGGCAGGATGGACGGGGGGCAGCGTGAAGCTCGCTGCCTTCACCTCTGCAGCGCAAGTTCAGCAGTAACCTGGATGGTCCAGGGTACCGGAATTTTAAATACCTATGTTTGTTTTTTGTTTGTTTGTTTTGTTTTAATATATTTAGTACAGGGTCTACAGAGTCTCACTATGTAGATTGCACTCGTAGTGATCCTCCTGGTTTCAGCTTCCCAAGCACTGGGATTACAGGCGCACATCACCGTGCCCAGTCTCAGTCGCCTCTCAGCGCCCCAGGGGCAGGGCCGGCATGGCATGCTGGGGCTCAGTGGCAGATGCTGGTCCCTGCGTCTGCCTAAGCAAGTGCTTTAGACCACTGAGCTAGCTGGCTGACCCTTGGAATTTAAAACAGAGGCCTGTCCCTGCCCTTAGGTGAGCCACCACCGTGCCTGCTCCGTGCTGCTGGGCCAGCTGTTGAGCTAGTGAAGGGCTCCAGCTCTAACTGCCACTGTCTGCCCACCCCTCGAACACTGCTCATGTCAGTCTTGTAAGGGTTCATAATTCTATTACTTTTGGCTTCTCCCTCACTTCCCCTTCAGCCACATGGTCCCTTCTGCACATCTTGGGGACAAATGCTTTTGCTGCATAGGAGTGGCATGAATAGATTTCAGCTCTCCTTTGATTCCAACCAACAGATTAAAAACTAATTATTCTCTGTAATACTTTTATAATAAAAACTAAGTTGAAATGATTTATATACACTTCCAGCCAACACATTTGCAATTCAAGGTTAAAATTGTTCTTGAATCGGCACCAGTTAAAATGCAATTACAACTCCCCAAGCGGGGATAAAAAGAAAGAAAGGTTCTACACATTCACTTCAAAAGTTTAAAAGTCAATTTAATATTAGAGAAATAAAAACTTTCATTTATTTTTACTAAATGATAACGGCTTCATTAGTTGTGTTAAAGTAGAAATAAATTCGTGTGTGTGTGTGTATGTGTGTGTGTGTGTGTGTGTTGCCCGCCTGAGGAGAGTGTGGGCTCCGTGGGGCACACAGCGCACCTCACGGGCGCCGTCTTTCCACACGGCCCGCTTTGTCCTGCGTGGGCCAGCAAGGGC